GTAACAGCAGGTCGGCATTGACTATCATGATTGAATTTGCTAAGGACCACATCTGAACCACATTTTCATCCAGTGGCATAACCTTGCATTAAACAGATAATCAATCGTATAATTAGTCTTTAGAGTTTGTCGAGAGGAGTTATGGATATCTTCCCGGGCTTTTTAGAAGGTTCCAATAAATGCTCGATTTGTATTTCCCATTGTCAAATAGCAGTGGGAGTGTATATAGTCAAAGGCAATTCAAACCTGTGGAATTAGTCGCTTTTATATTAAATTCTCGCCTTGTAAGCTGCAAAGTGACACTAGTCGTAAAGTGGATTTGTGATTTGCGTACCTTAACAACTAGTTTACAGGTCTACTAGTGAGTCGGTATCAGCCTCGTTATTGTATGAGCTAACGCGATCGGACAGCGAAGAAAGTGATCAAGCCAGCATTAGACTTCAAACAGATGACCACTTAAGGTGGTGTATGCAGGTGAGAGTATTATCTCCTGTTCACTCTCTTCCACCACTTCCTCTTTTCTTTTCTTTGTAGTACAAACGTATTTTGGTCATGGTTACTTTTTTACGTCACTTCATGTAGCTGAATCCGATTTACAACAAATGATTGTTTAGATCTTAAATCACTCTCTAACGCTCTCATTCTACACCCATCGAGAGTATGAGACAGTTCGTGGTGCAGTACGTATATACCTACATTGGTTACAAGCGCTTACTGACATTCCAGATGGAAACATACCAAGACCATTACTGGACACGCCAGAGAAATATTTTAGGTAAACTTTGAGTTATGTACAACATTTTTCTTTTCCCCATGAATTTCGTGAATTCTCTCAGTATTTCTCACTTCATTTGCATTATTCTCTGAAATTGATACGGATTATTTTAACGCCGTTCAAATATTCCTAAACCGGACCCGCATTTTTTCAATTGCACATTTCAAACGCTTATTGGAAAATGCAGTGTTTGCGATCGCGATGGCTGACAGTCTGTGTACAAATGCACGTGGTTACTGACACATATCCAGACTGGAAGTTACTGAGTAGGCCTCTCATTTACCGTGATCTATTTGCGCCAGTAATTCATGAGTCTGTAATCTGAGAGCTATGAACTCATGCTGAGAAGAATTACAAAATGCGCCTGATTCAAAGTGTTCGATCAATTGCTCGTTATTTGAGGAACATTATTGATGCTCTACGGAACTTGTTCTGCCGTCGAAGTGATGTGAAGGGAGAGGTACTGTTTAAGCATTTATCATGTTTTTTTTTATTTTAGGGTTTTTTTTGCTCTTTAAATCACTTACATTTGCTCTCAAGAATAGGTGGAGTTAATGTTGTTTCAGCACTGTAATATGGCAGATATCTCAATTAGCAACTGAATTTTATTTTCATGAAGAAACAAACTTTTTTTAGTATGATGAGCCGCTCATCTCGCAGCGCTTTCCTTTTGTTTTGATATCGAAACTTCAGTCCGCTAGGCGAAAATATGTTAAAAGACAGCTTCAGAAATTTGTTATTTGAGCATATCAGCTTTGGAGCTTTCCCTTAAAGAAGTTACAATCAAGAAAGGATTTGTTCATGAGTCTGTGAATCGTATATTTGTATTCCATCCTACGAAATCTTTAGATTTATTTGTTAGGTCTAATTTCTAGATATGCAATACAAACAGATTATGTGTGTGGTAATGAGAATGATGTGATAGTTATTTGAGGTTCCTCGAGGCTTAGCCATTGAACGACAGGCTCGCGAAGTGGAGACTGTTCTGGATGCTATAAGTACGTTGACACACTCAGCGAGCCACAAGTACCAGAACGAGGTTGGTTCACCAGTCTCGATTTTACGTATACAAGTCATTGATAGACTAAAAAGGATGTTTTTTGAAAACTGTTCTCAATATGTGCTGAGGTTATTTTGTTTTCAGTTGCAGGTAATGTTTTTTTTCCAGTCAATGCTGTAGTGAACCAATTTAGGTATGGGCTCGAACTCTCAGCTTTCTTTTAAACTCGGCTGATCTTCTTCTAGCAGATCCTCTTTCTCCTGGTAGTGTTTATCTTTGCAAAT